TATCTCATTTTGCTTTTCTTTCCCTTAATAATTTCATTATCTTTTCAAGGCAACTAATGTACATATATAGGCATATGTATGTACATTAAGTATATATATTCATGTATGCAGTCACTACTCAAATTCTTTTTGGAATTAGATTCAATAGAATAAATAAAATCACACATATATCATTTGCTTCTCTGTGAGCTCTTTTGACTACTTTTACTTTGGTATTTGTGAGTGTGTGTGTGTGTGTGTGTGTGTGTGTGTGTGTGTATAGAAATACTAAGTTGCAAAAGTCATTTGAAAGACAGCTGTTGCAGATCCTTAGGAATTTTAGTTTGCTCTCTCTATTGGAAGAATAATAGGTTGACATATGCTTTTATAACCACAATCATTCTAGAAGTAATTGCAACTATTGATTTGGCAACTCCAATTTTTGTTTCATTCGATTTTAGACAATACCTATCTGTTTATAAGTAACCTTTAAAATTGAAAGTACATATATTTGAAAATTATAACATGATGGTTTCGGTTTCATTGTATGTACATAGTGAAATGATGTCTATACTCTAGCCAATTAACATATCTCTCTCCTCACATAGTTACCATTTTGTGTGTTTATGGTTTTTAAAATAAACTTAAAATTTAGCATAATGTTGAAAAGTTGGAAAACTATATTGTATATAAACATATTGATAAATTTTCACAGTGAGCACAAATGTTATAGACAGCATCCAAAACTCAGCCCCAGAAGCCCAGTCAGGGTCTCCCCAGGCATTAACCAACTTGTCCCAGGAGAGTGACCCATATCTTGACTTTCATAACTATGTATTGACTTTTTCCAGTTGTTGAACATTATGTAAATGGTAATATGCATACTTTTTTTGTGTCAGTCTCTTTTATGGCCAACATTCTTTTGTTGAGAGTCATCTCTTTTGTGTGTAATGGTTATTTCTTTCATTCTTATTGATGAATAGTAGTTCATCATGTGAAGATGCCATGATATTTATCTAGGCTAATGTTTATAGATATTTGGGTGATTTGTATTTTGGCATTGTTATGAATAGTACTGCTACAAACATTGATGTTCATGTGATTTGGTACACCTTTATAGACATTTCTCTTGGGTACATCTCTAGAATTGGGTATTAGAGTATATATATGTGGATATATATGTACATACATACATACATACACACACATATTTGATTTTTGTCATTGTAGCCAGATGATGGAAGCACCAGTTCATTTCCGTTCGCAGTAAATAACAGGAATCCATTTTTTTTAAAAGATTTATTTATTTATACAAGCACTGGGTACAGTCAGAAGCATGGGAGGGTGAGAGAATTCACCAGAGCCAGAGCAAGGAGCAGAACAGGCAGAATGGCAAAGTACACTGCTGAGGGGAGCAGTGAGTGTGGCAGGAGAGATCTGTGCACTATGTGGGACCCTCGCTAGCTGCCCAGGATGGAACTGGTGCTGCAGAGACTGTGGGCAGCTTTGCAGCCCAGCACTCAACTGCTGAGCCACTGGGGAGGCCCCAGGAATTCATTATTGTAAGGAAGCTGGGGATATCATTTATCATAGCTGATTTTCAAAGATCGTGATCAAGTTGTTTTCCAATATTGTTTCCATGCTTCTGGATAATTAATCACATGTATTTTAAAATATACTTCCAATTTTGGAAAATATTTTCCCATGTGGAAAAAACTATTCTTATTTTGTCAAATATATGTGCATAAAAAAGTACAGAAAGGAATTTAAGAATAAAATCAATGGAAAGTATAATTTTATCTGAGCCCTAACTTGGAAAGTTAGTGACCCAAAACCTCAGCAGATTTACAAATTAAAAATTGGTAACAATGTTTGTCTTTTCACTGTTCATTTTACTGAAAAACCAAAATCATGAAAAACTTGGTAGAGTTGATCCTTTGTAATTTTAAAATAAAATCCTGAAGTCACATTTAGTATATGAAGTTTTTCACAGGAAATTTATCTGTAAAGTGAACCCCCATGGGTTTTAACATATAATCTCTCCTTGATTAGAACAGTCTTCTGTTGCTAAACATGACCTTTTACTTTTAAATATTGGAAGAAATTTGATTTGGTTTTATTTCATTTCATTGTTCCTGAGTTAATTCCTCAGAGGTTTGATGCCTCCAGAAATTGGTTAACTAATGTCCAGATAACTGCTCTCACCAGGCCAGCTTGACTGCCAGCCACATGGTTATACTTGTCTTTTTTTTGATTTGTTTTTAAATAACGTGGGCTTCCTTTTCTTGTTGTAAAATAAAAAGAACTGAATTCCTCTGGAGAACCCTACTTTATTTATTAGCAGTCTTTGAACTCATTCCCATAGGACTGTAAAAATGTTTTATGTGCAAATGTCATTTGGCCTGACTTTCCACTGGTTTCCACTAACTTAATAAGAATTCAATTGGATTGGTGAACAGAGATTAATTAACAGTGTGTAACTTAATTGCATCAAAGGAAGCAGGGATTTTGAAGGTCATTGGTAGCCTTCAATGCCTATCAAAATGTCATTAATGCATTTATGTCTTTGTCCTAAGAAAGAAAGCAGGGAGATAATCTATATTTATCAATTGTTATGAAAAACAGCTGACTATATTACTTTCGATAGAGAATTTTAAAGATAATAAAATAATTGATTTCAGAGCAAGAAGAAACCTCAAAAAAGAGACTTGTTTACTTTGTTACCTTCAGCACTTGAAGAATTACCTTCATTATTCCTATTTTTATATTAAAAAATTGTTATAGATTGATTAAAAGTGATCAATCTGTGGCCACTGAACGAGGGAATAATAGCAGAGACAGACTTCACTAAGAGTAAGATTCTCCAGTTTTCTACAAACATTGTTACACTATATCATTCTATTTTTGCTTTGGTGAAATTTTCTTGTCTCTTTCAAATGCAGTTGGAAGATTTCAGAGAGAAATTATTAAAATCATGTAAGATATCCTCATACATTACAGGTTTCAGTGTAATTTGCTATACCTTTTCTGGGAGGCAATTTGGCAAGAAATTTTAAAATGTTTTTAAATTTAACTACTAATTTTACTTGTAAAATAACCTGTTCTTAGTCTGATGTAGATACAGATTATTTTATGTAACTTGATTTATAAAAGGGAAAACTGGAAAATCTCAATATCCAATCGTAGTTCAATGGTCAATTTAATTGTGTTATAATTATTTTATGAAAAGTTATACAGTGTTTTATGTTTTTATCTTTTATCTTTTTTTTACTTCAGGTAATTTTACTGAAATGAAATGAAATTCTAAAAACTTGAAGAGGTTTTTGTCTGTCCTTTCACAGGTTTGAAATAGATTTCCTCAAGATAACATAGCTAGTAAATGGTGGATTGAGATCACTCATTAAACAAAAGCTACACCATCATGTTAAAGTTTCCAATCACATGTTTCTCTTCAGTTCAAACTCTACGTTCTCTTGAAAATTTATGTTTTTAAATCAATGCATCATGGCCTGGGAAGTGGTATTGGGTGATATATAGTAGGAACTAAATTTTTGGAGATCTGAATTTTAGAAAAATGGTATCTAGCAATGTATAAATATGTATAACTAATGGAGACATTTTATTTTCTTATTTTTTTATTTACCATGTTTCATACAATAATAGTTAAAATACATTTTTAAGTTTGTTTAAAGAATGACTAAGATGTAGGATAAAAACCTCTTCTTTTGACAATCTACTATACCATTTCTTTTAAGAATCTTGATTTAATTTTTTGATTTTTATGTTAATTAAAGTATTTAATTTAAGTTTAGCTTTACTCTTCTTCTAAGCTTTTGCAACATTATAATGTAATGGAAGTAAATACCTAAAAAGAGTGATATTAATCAAATATTTACTCTGTGTTAATGTCTCAGGTCCTTTTCACATAAATATACATGCACTCTAACTTATATTTCAAATAATATGACTTCTAGACAAATATTAATGGGATAAATAATTTGTCAATGAATTTATGTTGTAACAAACTCAAATGTGAAATGCATTTATTAAAGCTGAAATTAAAGTATTTATAAATAGAAACAGATTTGCAAAGAAATCTATACTTTTCTGTGGTATGGTGAGGACAGTAATGATTTCCTACTAATATTATTTAATTGATTATATCTTAAGTGATTTTTAGATATGAGCATTTATATTTTTGTCTACACAAAGAACCAAAAAATCAGAATGACAGATGTTTCATTTTATTCTTTGTTGAACTTCATTAAGTTGCATCACTTAAAAATTAGAACTCAAGAGTTTTGCATTTTGATGGTTATTTTTTGAGACCTTGAATAAATCACCCAGTCTTCATGGAATACATTTGCCTTATCTGTAAAATGGGACATTGGACTAGAACCAGTGGCTTTCCAAACTGTTACTGACTGGCAGTTCTAGGGAGGCTGGCACTGTGAGTTTTTTTCATGGGTCTGGAGAGCTGCATGGAGCTTGCATGTAACTAGCACATAACCAAAACTCAAGAGCTGTGAATTTAATGAGTGGCATGAGAAATAATAGCTGAACATGCCCTGTGGAACCCTGGCTGGGAGTCTGCCTTTTCATCAAAACTTCACCCAGCACAATTCTGTGCACACACATACACACACACACTCACATCAGACAGTAACACCACTTACTCTCATTTCCCCTTATGTACATTACCAAATTTTATGTATGTGTGTATATATACATGTGTATATATCTTCTGCTTTTATCTACCATATAAAAATAAAATTGCACACACACATATATATATATTATTTACATGCTGTATTGTAATACTCCATATGCTCATCAAGCCGTCTCTCCGGGTTATTAGATCCTTGATAGCAGAAATGTGTCTTGTTAACTTGGCCTTCCCCATGTCTAGTGCAGTGTGTTAGAGACTTTGTCACAGTCTATAAATTTTTGTTGGGTGAGTTGTTTTCTTTTTCCTGAAATAGCCCCTTTCTCTTCTCACTTATTCATCTTTCACTTTTCAGGTCCTCTCCATCTGTCCCAAAGACATGAGAGCGGATATCTGTGTTCATCTAAACCGGAAGGTTTTTAATGAACATCCTGCTTTTCGATTGGCCAGTGATGGGTGTCTGCGTGCCTTGGCGGTGGAGTTCCAGACTATTCACTGTGCTCCTGGGGACCTCATTTACCATGCTGGAGAAAGTGTGGATGCCCTGTGCTTTGTGGTGTCGGGATCCTTGGAAGTCATCCAGGATGATGAGGTGGTGGCTATTTTAGGTACTGTGAACTTTCCTAATGTAGTAGCAAACACGTAACAGTTTTAGAGATTTTGCTTCTCAGGTTTCTTTTTTTTTTTTTTTAATTAATAAATTTTATTTTTATATTCCCCATACAATTGCAATCCCCCCATTCTGACCCCAATCCCTCTCCTCCCGCCCCCCACCCCCCAAAAAGTGTCTCTGGTTCATAGTTTTTGTTGATTTTGATTTTCACTTTCTTATAGTTATTCATTTTCCTGGTCCCTTATTTAAGTTTTCTAGATTCCTGCTATGAGTGAGACCATCCGGTATTTTTCTTTTTCTTTTTGGCTTATTTCACTGAGCATGATCCCTTCCAGCGTCATCCATGTTGCTGCAAATTGCATGTGTTTATCTTTTTTGAATGCTGAGTAATATTCCATGGTATATATGTACCACATCTTCTTGATCCAGTCATCTATTTTTGGGCATTTGGGCTGTTTCCAAAGCTTAGCTATTGTAAACAGTGCTGCTATAAACATAGGGGTGCAGGTGTTCTTTGGAATTGATGTTTCTGTGTTCTTTGGGTAAATACCTAGGAGTGGAATTGCTGGATCCTATGGAAGCTCTATGTTTAGTAGGTCCAGAAATCTCCACACTGCTCTCCATAGTGGTTGGACCAGTTTGCACTCCCACCAACAGTGCAGAAGAGTTCCTTTTTCTCCACAACCTCGCCAACATTTGTTGTTGCTAGTTTTTTTAATATGTGCCATTCTCACTGGTGTAAGATGGTATCTCATGGTAGTTTTGATTTGCATTTCCCTGATTGCAAGTGATGTTGAACATTTTTTCATATGCCTGTTGGCCATTCGCATTTCCTCTTCAGAGAAGTTTCTTTTTAGTTCCTCTGTCCATTTTTTGACTGGATTATTTTCTTTGTTGTTGTTGAGTCTCATCAGCTCTTTGCAGATTTTTGTGATCAGTCCTTTATCATTAGTGTTGGGTGCAAAAATTTTCTCCCAGTTGGTGGGGTTTCTCTTTGTTTTTGTTATTGTCTCTTTTGCTGTGCAGAAGCTCTTTAATTTGATGTAGTCCCAGCTGTTGATCTTCTCAGGTTTCTTAAGAGACATTTCCTTGGCTTAGTGATGCTGGAAATTGGGTCACTAATGAGATGATGAATCTGAGTGAAAACTAGTCATGCTGCTTCAGCAAGGAACATTAGTATTGGTCATAGCTTAATGCGCTGCAGGAGAATTTGAACTTCCTTTGGCAGTAGTTGGTCATTAACTTTAGACTAGAGTTGATCATGGTCTAAGATGATTCACCTTCATAGTGGTAAGTGCAAAAATGATTTGTGGAGTGATTTTCAGGCTAGTAAACTATAGTGTTGGTTTCAGAGAAACAAAAGAACCTGCCTACTTCAACACTTTCCTTTTGAGAATTGCAAAGTGAGATCCAGAAAGTCTAATGACTTGCTCAGTTATTGTAGATAGTACATTAGGTAGGGCTTGAGTGCAGGTCATCTTATTCTAAATTGTTTTGCCTCATCATAGTGAGCTCAATTGACATGAGGAGGTAAATGAATTTGACTCACTACATTGGAGTAATAACACTGCAAGTAAATTTAGGTTTATAAAACTGGTTATATCCATTTATGAACCAACCTGGAAAATAAGTTGGCTGTTAATAAGTGTGATGCAAAATTCAGAGACCCAGTGGATAATTGTAGTAATTTTAAAAGGCTGAGACAGTGCATGTGAGTGGCAAAATAAAAAAAAGAATAATTAAATGTTTAGAGACAATGTAATATATATTATTGATGGTAATTTGCTAAATAATCCTTGCGATCATTTTCCACTCTGCAGCAGATTCTAGAAATCCACATAGATGTTAAATGAAGAAATAATGTGGTCAGAAGAGAATCATCCTGTTTTTTTCTCAAGTAAAATAAGTCAGAATTGCAGGATGTCAATTCCATTTGATTGTATTTTTCATGGCTTGTGTCTCATGAAAAATAAGCCCAATTTTTAAATTATTGGATTTTTTAGCTACCAAGATCAACCAACCATAGCTTGAATGCCACTTATTCTCCTAAGTAAAAGATTAACTGATGTATTTTAGAAGGTGTGAAAGCAAAATCCAGCTCAAAAATGAAGAACTGATTTTTAAAAGCACAATACTTGAAAAGACAGAATTGAGAATCAATGACCCTTTGTAGGAAAACAAGTTTTATAAAATGTATGCATTATAGAAAATGGGTCAGAGCTGCAAATGACTGGACACATTTGTTTGCAAGCCTATCTTTAACTGTTTAGAAATAATATTACAGTTCTGATTAAGTTTAGGTGCTATTTTTCTTTTTGGTACTATTTCTTTTAAGTACTATTTTTGTTTTTGAATTTAGGAAGAAAAAGTTCATACAGTATTTTACAATCAGCACTCTGAGTATTTTTAATGCTACTAAGTGCTCATGCTGCTTTGTTTATTGGAGTAAAAAGGAGTTATATAATCTTTCATAAAAAGTGTACATTTTGCCAGAACAATCCTTTGTGGTAAAATGGAGCAAACACATTTCAACCAATCTTATTTGCTTAAAGAAGATGATAAAATACAAACCCCCAACAGGTGTATTTTCTTTCTTGTACTGTCTTTTTTCTTTTTATTGAGGTACAGGTGTATTTTCTTTGCCTGCATATCTGTGTCACTGGTGGGTGGGAGAGCAGACATCAAATATATTACAGTAATGTGAGCACCATGGTGATAAATTACCTCAGCTGTGTACTCATTGTCATTTGCTTTGCCCCATTTTTTTATTACAGTTTCACCTTGGTAGCTTCTTTTCTGAAAAGGATAGCAAAAACCTCAAGTGCAGTGCCTCTGGCTTAGCTTGCTAAACTAGAATCATTTGCTCAGTCAGTGAGACAGAAAAAATGCATTTTCTTTTTATTTAAAAATAAAATGGAAGGTGGTTTTGTGCAATGACACAGTAAAAATGAACACAGCTCTCACAGCGATATTGGACCAATCTAATTATGTATCTGTCATATTTTATTTGAGTATGGGGGTTTTTGTTCATCCTCCTTAAGTCTAGGATTCTGAGATTTCACCTCTTGGATTAATGAATCAAATTATATGAACAACTCTTTGGCAACCTTTCTTTTTTTCTGAACAAAAACTAGTTCTACCAAAAGGGAGTCAGATGGTTTTTGTTTAAATAATAGCCCCCCAAAATAAAGTTTTGACCTAGAAATGATCTCTCAAGGTAGAAGTAGACTGCAGTCTCTGGGAAGTGGTAGTAGTAGCTATAACTAGAAGTTGGGAGAGGATACAAGCCCTGCCGGTGGAGTTGCCCAGGCACCATAGAGTCTGCCAGACACACTACATGCAATGAGCCTGTAATCTGGATTATCGAAGACAAGGCAGACACATAGACTGGTACTTTGGGAACTGGCCTGATGGTGAGTCTTGAGGCGAGGCAATCTGAGGAGACCATGACTTTCTGTTGGAGATGGAGCATGAATGGCTACAGTGGAGGTTGTGCACCGAGGCCCTCTCTCACCTTTGTGTTCATACTGTGTTTTTAGTCTTGAGGCAGCTGAACTGAGAGGTGGTGGCCACTGTAGCATGTGCCCCGCCCAAGGGACCTGGAACTGCCTTTTCTTGATTTGGGGATCTCCTGGATGGCCAAACAACTCCATTTTGTGGCTCTCAGTGTGGGTTCCATATTTTCAGACGTTTCAAAATGAAAAATACTTTCTTTTCTGGTTAAAAAAGTTCTGGTTTGTTAACATTAGAAGTGTTTTTAAAAAAAGGATTGGAAAAAGATAACTCTTCCATGTCCCTTCTCACATTTTGGTAACGCCCCATTCCTTTTCTGTTCCTCCTCTTTTATCTAGTCCTCGTCTCATTTTTTGGGTAGCTTAATTTTTAAAACATTTACAAATTTAAAGAAATGCTTCAAAAAATCAAGGTATGAAGATTGATATAGATCTTTAAGTTACCTACCTTAATGGCTAGGTCTTCTATATATTTTTTGTCTTCTTGTTAGATCTGAAATATGTCCTTTCTTATTATGTCTTTATTTTTTTGCCTTAAAAGGGTCAGGCAGAAACAGTATCCCTCATGTCTGAGTTCACCTTGGAAAAGTGAGAATTTGTCTAAGTTTGTCTGGAAGGAGAAATAAACAACCTTTCTCTAGCACTGATTCATGTACCTGCTGAAAGGTAGAGAAGGGAGGTCATTTAAAATTAATTAAAATTCCTGAATCCAGAAAACAGGTGTAATTCCATCCTCTTGAATCCTTGCCTCTGAACTGTCTTGGTATGAGCATAATTCTTTATGTGTCAAAGTGCTGTGGTGTCTAATGAGTAAGTTCTGAAGCATAACTAATTAATGGAAAGATAAAAATGTAGTCAACAAAAATATCTTTCTTTTTTTTACACTGAAAGATGGTTTCAAGATGTTTTTCTAAATAGGGCATATGAACATAATTGCAGTTCAAGTCTTATTCCAATTTGAAGTTCTTTCAGTTCTTACACCTCCACTTTTTTTTTGACCTTCCCACTTTTTTGAAACACAAAGAATTCCAAATTAAGTTCATGATGCATACATAATATTTTATATTCTCTAATATCTTCTTGGATTTTAGTTCCTGCTCTATAATTACTTAATGTGAACAGATTTATGGGGATGGTTAAAAGAACCAGGTTACTTGTGTCTTGATAAGGTATATAGTATCTTTTGGAGATTATAGAAAATGGTATTTCCTCACCAACAGTAGACCTGACTTTTAAGATATTTTTGTTTTGCTGCTTTTGGTTGGAGTTATTAATCTAAGACACTCTGCATCTAAGTCTCAATTGCTACTTCAGTTACATTTTCAGGAGAAATGCTTGTTCATGTAGTTTTGATGGAGGGGTAGAAATTGTTATGGGGTTGAGGGAAGGGGCATAAGTAAGGAAGGGAGAGATAGAATTCAGTGAGCTTAATATTAAAATAAAAGATGATTTCTAGTACTTGGGTTAAGTTTTCGTTTTAATG